GATTTTGTAAATTAACAAAAAATGTTGCTATTTTCGAGCAGAGCGCATGCTCGGCACAAGCCTGCGGCTTCATGATGACACCGTTATTCAGTGGCTGTGGTCAGTGTTAATAGGTGGGGTGTTTTTCTTTTCGTCAGTCGGCTTTACTGTAAGTAGGTATTCTAAAGCCATTATGGAGTACGGATTAACAAAATTATACTTCCGTGTTAAATATGACGAAACAGAATGGTGTTCTATATTGTCCCCTTGCTCGTATGAAGACATAATTGAAAGTGGTAAGTAAAGCAAAATATTTTTGTAGATTAGCTTTATAATTTGCCAAGAAACAAAAATGGGAAAATATGTAGCATTAAGTAATATTTTATAATGTTTTTTTCATGATTTTACTTCCGATGAGCTATTTTTTCTTTAAAACATAAATTTCTTTTAATTATTTTGGCGCGAAAGCCATTTTGATTTTCCGAACAAATACGAATCCCGGGTTGCAGAAAGAACACAGCAAAAATACACTCACCCGCAATGTCTAGGGATATTTAAAAAAAATATTTTACTTGTATTAAGTATACTTATTGTTTAAGTATACTTATTTTTTATTGATATACAAGTAAAAGAATTTTTTAAAATATCCCTAGACATTGCGGGTGTGTGTATTATAGAGGTTTACGACGTTGTCGCGTTTATCTTTAACTAGCTACCTATAGGTATCTCTAACTTGAAAAGTTTAGTTTTTAATAATTAAATTGTAGCTTGATCGGCAAGGTTATTATTCGCGATTAAAATTCCAATTAAGGGTGTTGGGTGAAACAACTTGTTTCTTAAATAAATTTTATTTATTTAATGTTTATAAGATTATGGGGTCTGTTCAAAAATGCTTATCATAGAGTTTTGTGCCATAAATAATTTAAAATTATTAAAAGGGTGTTTCATTTACATATTTCAGTAAGAAAATTATTTCCGTCCTTGGAATCAAAGGAATTTACACTCCAAGACGAATACGGGGCCAATCTTCGGGGAGATTTTTTAGAAGAATATATTAAAATTTCCTCTAGAGGAGTTCTTCTAAAAGTTAAATTTTGTTATGTTTTTTGCTTATTTTATATTAAAATGAAACAATAATAATAATTATTATTGTTAATAATATTTTAGTTTTGTTGTGTTTTTTGTTTATTTTATATTAAAATAAAACAATAAGTGTAAATAATATATTATAATAAATATTGTTAAACATGTTTTGTTTCTTTAAAATATATATTTTTGTACTTTAATATGTGTTTATATTATATTACCTTATACCAAATACCCATGTCACATATTATCACATATGTATATTTTTTGAGGAAAAAGTATAATTTGTCCTTTGTACAATTTTAATTTATAAAATTTGTTAATTATGTTAGTTGCTTATAAATATTTTTTTGCTGTTTGTTAAATTTTATTTTTATAATTTCGCCAATTATTGTTGCATTTAGCAAATAAAAAAATATGTTATAATTGTAAAAGTTAATAAATTTTATTTTACAAAAATAAGACTATAAGGTAAAATAATTGTACGTAATAGTCTTATTTTTATAATTATTATAACGCATTTTTTACTTACTTAACAAAATAAATTGTACAAACAAAGTTTGGATTTTCCACCCAAAAAAATTGTACAATTGACAACAAAAAAATGCTTTTATGACAAAAAAGAATGCAACTTTAACAATTTTATTTGTTAAAACACAAAATAGGTAATTGTTGAAATGACAAATAAAGGTTGCTTCCACGACAAAAAAAGAATACAATTAAAAAAAATATTTGTTAAAATACACAAAAATAATTATTTCAAGGACAAATAAATTTTGCTTAAAGAACCAAAGAAGAATGTAAATTTAACAAATTTATTTTTTAAAATACATAAAATAATTGTAAAAATAGCAAATTAAGAATTGCTTCTACGACCAAAAAAAAATGCGAATTTAATAAATTTATTTGTTAAAAATTGAAAATTTATTTTATGATTTAACAAATTTATTGCATTTATTAACAATATATATTAATAACAATATAGTTTGCTTATTTTAACAAACGTAATTTAACAACTAGGGAATTCAAATTATTTTGTTAAATCAACATAAAAAATTAGTGGACCTGTGGGAGCAAAAAAAATTGCTAAAATTTTGCTAAATTTAGCAACTTATTTTTTACTGTGTAGAGTTGATTTGTAAGTGTAAAAGTTACACTACAAAATACTAGTGGTAGCATTTAGTGCTTATTAACTTTATTAAACACATTTAAAGAATATGAACATAATTCATTGGTACATTCACATATTTATTATTAAAATAAATCAAAAAGGTAGAAAAACTTAATGCGAGTGTTTATTACCCCTTAATGTGTTAAATAGTGACAAAAAATTTACACTACAGTGCATGCCAATCTCTTTGTCTGTTTTTATGTTACTAAGAGCTCTTTTTTCTTTACTCTCTAAAAATGAAACAGTGGATTTTCACTGATTGACAGTGCATATTAACTATTTGCCGCAGTGATAAGTATACCACTAGCAATTAGTGAATACTCACTTTTTCATATAGCGATTTCTTTGCACTAATTTATTTAGTAGAAATTACACTGTACAAATTAGTGAAATAGGTTTAGTTCAAAAAAGTTAAAATTTCACTATTTTATGTCGAGAGTTCCGGAAAAGTAGTGATAATAAAAAACACTAATTTGGAGAAGTTAAAATTTCACTAATTTATATTGAAAATCACTAATTTTACAGTGAATAATAACTCACTGACGGAAGTAGTGAAAATTTCACTGTTTCACTTTTAGAGAGTACACTACTAGTGCACATTGTATCACAATTAAAGTTAAATTACACCAATAGTGGCAAAATAGACTGAAAAAACTGGTAATAACCGAAATGCGTTTTAAAATGTTTGGTTGGTACCTATCTACCTACGCAGTGCATATCCGGTGATACCGCGTTGTGGAAGTGTGGCATTTTTGTTCAGTTAGATTTTAATTACGGTGAATCCATAAGGGGAAATTCTTATTTTTTTGTAAGTATTATACTTCCTTTTTTTTAAGCCTTAATACTCAATAAATACCAATATGTTAAAAGGATGTCCAATGGACATTGTCCATACCCGACCTATATTATATATCAATAATTTATGGCAGTAGGTCGGGTACTTGTAACATTCATAATATAAATACATACACACTTGATTTACTTTTTAGTTTCAAGCGTAATGGTTGTTATATTAACCTATACCTACATTTTTATTAATATTATGGAAAATTTGTACACGTGTGGTAAATCCCCGACATACAGCCGCCTGACGCCTCTCTACCAACGGGATCACCCATTTTTTATAACAGAAAAATGGAATACTAATGAATTCTCAAGATAATTCATTGCTTACAAGTTGACAGCCAGTAAAACATTGCATTGATCTAAAACTTTTACGTTTTTAGGAACCATTTTGCTTAAGCCAGTCATACGACTCAAATATAAAATTATATTTTAAAAGGCACCGATTTTGATAATTGTCATAGATTTTTGTTCCAAATAAATGTTTCTCTTTATTTACCTTTTCGTTTTATTCACTACCACCAATACGTTTTACTCAAATAATTACACTAGAAGTTTGCACTAAAAGAGTAAAAGTACCTTTCTAAAATTATTATTTTCCAAAGTAGTGTTAATTTACACTAAACAAAAGTGGGATTTTACCCAGGAAGTGTAGAAGTACACGATTTTAGGTAAATTAACACTTTTTAATACAGTGTAAAATTACTTTATCCTCAGTGCTATAGTGTTAAATCATACTTGCTTACTTGGGGAAAATTACACTACAAATTAACTCTAATTGTAGTGTTATAAAACAACACTATTTAGTGTGGACCTGTGTGAACTCTAATTAGTGTTGCTTAGAGTTGATTTTTTTGTTACTGTGTAATTTCTTTAAAAGGTCTATAGTCTATAGACCCCAAAGACCCCTTCCTAATTTATTGAGCAAGGCTTAAAGAAAAAGTAAGTATAATACTTACCAAAAAATAAGAATGTCCCCTTATAGATTCACCGTAATTAAAATCTAACTGAACAAAAATGCCACACTTCCACAACGCGGTATCTCCGGATATGCACTGCGTAGGTAGATAGGTACCAACCAAACATTTTAAAACCCATTTCGGTTATTACCAGTTTTTTCAGTATATTTTGCCACTATTGGTGTAATTTAACTTTAATTGCGATACAATGTGCACTAGTAATGTAAAGAAAAAAGAGCTCTTAGTAATATCAAAACAGACAAAGAAATTGGCATGCACTGTAGTGTACATTTTGTCACTATTTAACACATTAAGAGGTAATAAACACTCGCATTAAGTTTTTCTACCCTTTTGATTTATTTTAATAATAAATAGTGTGAATGTACCAATGAATAATGTTCATATTCTGTAAATGTGTTTAATAAAGTTAATAAGCACTAAATGCTACCTAGTGTATTTTGTAGTGTAACATTTACACTTACAAATCAACTCTATAATATTTTTACCCCTACTCTAAAAAATTTACACGGGCAAAATTTTTTACTGTGTAAGAATCAAAAGAAGACAATAACAATTGAAAAAAATAGTAATAATAATAATAATAAAAATGACTTAAAAAATTCATACAAATTATTAAAATTATACTAAAGGGTGAACAAAAGTTTATATTATGAAAGTCCACAATTGCTTTATTTTGTATTGTATTGTATTATATTTTTTTAATTTTTTGTTTTGCCGACTAAGCATAATTTGAAAGACATTTTTACAGAAAAAAAAATGTTTTCTACTCATGTACATAATCGAGTTTTCCCTTGCTTAATACCTTTATTTTTTTAAAAAGCATAGTGACATCCATTAGAAAGTTTCTATTTTATTAGCGAAGACAATTTTCAATTTTTAAAAATCAAACATTCAACAGTTATCTAACATTATCAAACATTCAACAGTAACTGATATCTTACCGTGAAGCTGATGTTGTTCGGGAGAGCAAGGCTGATGAATGGGCAACATAGTTTGCTGCGAAACGGTGCAATCCATTTCGGAAGCACTCAAAATGACCAAAAACCAACGACAGTCCAACAATCAAACTTAACACTCGTCAAAAAAATAAACAACAGTCGAGAGCAACGTGATGCAGATAGCTGGGCAAAGCAGGAGCAACAAACAAGTGAATCTGCTCTCGGGGATGACGTTGACGTTTGTTTGAGCAAAAAGTGGTGGATGTGTGCATGTGTATGTTTAAGGGGTAGATATGGTCCATGGGCGGGATCAGATCTCGCTACCCTGTGTTTAACTTCTGTCGCGGCACGCGGCTGCGCTCTTCGCGCCGCCGCGACGGCCGTCGTCGTTAAACCCCTTTAACCTCCGTCGCTTTGCCCCTCTCTCTCTGCCTCCGTAGAGAGCGTTCTGCCGACGGCAAAATGCAAGATTTAATTTCTCCTCCAGCTGCTTTGTCAATGTTAATATATAAAATAAGAAGAACAAATCTATTAACAAAGCAACTTGTTGAAAAAATTTAATTTTGAACCATACCGATTTCAAGTGAATGACCCATAAAACAGGTAGTAAGAAATTACATTACATGTTCTTACATCTCGCCTCTGTTGGCTTACCAACCCAGCATATAAGCTCAGGGAGTCCTTTGTTTTGAGTGTGTTCCAATACACCAAGTTGCCCGACACTGATGAGACCCAATAAAGGTCGAAACAGCTGTCTGTCGGTATTTGAAGTTGGGGAACGCACACAAAACAAAAAACTTTGGCGAGGTGTAGGTTCAATTTTTTCTTACATTACAATTTTCAGGTGTGTTTTTTTGTGTTTTTAAAAACGCTCGAGCAAAGCAACACTTGATATGAAGTGATAGAAGCGACCGAAGATGCATAATAGATTTTTAACTGAGCTTACTTACTTAACATTTTGATCAATCACTATGACATTATATATTATATAAGTACACTTTAAATTAGATAAATTTTATTGGATATATTTTTATTTAAAAATACATAGGTAAAGGTTGGGTTGGTAAAAATATTTGTAAGGCATTTTCGGAGTTCTTTGCGTTTTCTCAATGAGAGTACTTTAAGAAAATGCGAGAAAAAGTGACAAATACTTTTTTGTAATACTTTATTCTTTTTAGTAAACTAGTTTAAGCTAACTTTACAGTTATAAAATTAAATAAATCAAAACATCAGTATGATTGATCTATATATGCTGTGAAATTCAAAGTTTCATAAAACATAAAATAAAATTAATGTTTAAAATATACTTCCTAGATCAGCTGGAAAAAATTAAATATAGGTATGCTCTAAATTATAGTCAGTAGCTTAGCTAGAGATCAATCAGATTTCATGAAAAATTCATTAAAATTAAAAACGGCAAAATTTTAAAAATTATTATATATTTTTTTAAATTGACTAATTTCATAGAAGATGACTGAATATTTTGTTCTATTTTTTCTAAGACGTTTAAAAAGAAAACAAAAAATTAAAAAACTTTGATTAAAAAAAGTACTATTTAAAAAAATTAAATGGGTGAAAAAATTTAAAACAATTTACAAAAACGTTTTTGGTGAGGTAGTATGAAATATAAAAATTTCAGACAAATCGAAGGTAGTTTAAAAGTGGTTGATTTAACGTGACATGCATGTCACGTTAAATCAACCACTTTTGAACGAAATTATTCATATTGAGCATGCCCAATATGAATAATTAAACCATAGGTAGGTACTTTACTACTATAATACTATTACTATACATTTTAAAAGTTTTCATTTGTGGGGTGACACCATCAATATTCGCTACACCACTAATTATAGTATATTTTGATTAAAACATGCGAAGTAATTTTTTTATGAACAAAAGAATAATTTGAACAACTAAAATTTAAATTTTTTATTTAATTACAATAATTTTTCTTCGCCTATTATAAGATGTTTATGGGAAAGGTATACCTATAGAGGCGCTTGCGCAGATAAAGTTTTGACAGATTCCTAAAGGTAGATCTTACACAGAGAAAAAAATAAAGGTTAAAAAAAACGAATTTAGGACCGAGAGATTGCAACAGTAAAAGTTCCAGTTCCGTAACACCACTAAATATAAACTCCGCTACCTAAGCTAGGCTGCATGATCTTAATTCTTAACGCTTGGTAGCAACTGTTACAACCACAACAAACACAAATTCGAATATCAATGCGCGCGCATAGTTTTAGATTTGACGAGTTGGGTGGGCCGATTTTATATTTAACTTCTAAAATTTAAAAATATTAAATTCTGCATTTGAGAAAAAGTTGTGAAATAGGAAAGTAAACATTTTTTGCAAATTTTTTTTTTTGATATCCCTGTTTTGAACTGCCGCAACGCCTCTAAAAATTTAAAAGTAATTTTTAAAAATTTAAAATTATTTATAAGCGGGAAAGTTGTGAAATAGGAAAGTAAACTATTTTCCTTTAATATTTTTTTCTTTTTTAACGTTTTGAATTGTTTGAAGTCTAACTGTAAATTTTAAATTTTGCAATAATTGCAATTATTGGAGAGACGGCGTAAAATGGAGAATAAATATTTTTTAAGATTTTCGTGTTTAACGTAGGACAGTTGACAGTTGGCTTCACTGTTTATATAAATTATAATATTTTGACATCGTCAATTAGTTGAATAATAGAAATTTTTACAAGTAGTATCTGTTTGTGGTTTTTGGGTGTTTGTGAAAAATGGCAGGTAAATCAGGATTATAAATTGAATTAAATTTGTGTTGATAATAAATTCATTTTTATTTTTGTTTTTTTTTAATAAATATTTATCATTCAAAACTTTTTTAACCCTATTTCTCTCAGATAATTTTTTTTGTATTTATAACGATACTAAATTACATTAAGATCTTTCAAGGCCTTGCGGCAGTTTAAGAAATTAAAATTAAAAAAAAAACTCTTATAATATTTTTCTGGCCTTATAAATGCACAACTTTTCCACCATTGCACAATTTGATATTTGAAAAATATTAAAATCGGCCCACCCTATTGACGAGTGTAATATTTATATCATTGAACCAGCAATGATAACTACAAAAACAATAAAAAATTCAGGATAAAAAAAAATATAAAAACGCGAATTTTACCCGCGCTTGCAGGTACGTTTATGTCTAATTGTATAAAAAATATTACTGTAGTAGTATTGTATTTTTCCTTAACTTTTTACAAGTTGATCATGTAAATTTACAATAAAAATATTAAGAATATAATACGATCATATTATGTATACATATCTATAGATATCCGGAATTGGTATAGTAATTGTTATTCTCGGAACTAAAACTTGTAATTATATTATAATATAAAATATGTTATATATTTTTCAATTAAACATTTGGTAAATTTACCATTATTTTTAACGGCGTAGGTACAAAACTATTGTTCTTTTTTCTTAGTGTATCGTTCAAACGCCAAACAGCCCGCAACGTCGTTAAAACTTTTCATCCAAAAATTATTATGAAAGTTTTAAAATTATTCTAATATAAGGATTAAAAAAAGTTATTTCAATATTAAAACTGCTTTAAACCTTTACACCTATTTCAATTTTACTAGATGGGTACTTTTTAGCCCCATCTACCTCTTAAAAATAAATATTTCACATTTCCATATTTACTGTGACTATTAATTAGGCAAACCAAAGGTAATTCTAATGTTCTCTTAGCAGTAAAGTTTCGCTTTAAGAGTGCCTTATTTTTAAGTTTTAATGTCGTAGCGATAGCAGTGTAGTATGACAAAAGAGACATGTGACGAAGAAGACATTTTTCACGATAAAAAAATCCATTTTCCAAATGCACATAAAACATTGCATTTATTAAAAAGAAAGAAATTGGTTTATTTTATATAAAAAAGAAAATGAAATACTGCAAATACTTACCGACTAAATGCCGTGTCAAAAGATAACCTTCAAAAACACATGCTGCTTGTTTGTAACGCGCAAAATAACAATAGCGATATCATTGCCTGCAGCGGCGCTATCTCGTGCAACAATTATAAACAACATGGGTTACAGATTTCTTTCATATGTAATGCTAAACTCCAGTGTATTTAATAACAAAGTTGCAACACATGTGTTTATTTAGGTGGTTTAAGACGAAGTAGACATTAAATATAAGGATAAGGTTTGGTCATGCTTAAAAAATTATTCACAGACATTTTATCACATTCTTTATTATTAATGAAGAGCAACTTATTTGTTATTTAATTTTAGTTTTAGAATTATGTTTCATACAAAACCTATGAAATATATCCAAGTTAAATACAATATTTTTATTCTTGAAAAATGTTCTATTATTTTTTTTATTTTAAGCTCCTATTTATATTAGCTGTCTCAATTTATTATGAGCCTTAATAGTATAATGACCCAGATAATAATTTAAATAAATCCATATAGAAAAGTTTTCTGTTCAAAACATTATCTTTTCGGGGTTGTGTTTCCAAACAAAATTAATTGCTTTCTTTCAAGAGGGAGACTGAAGTCTTATAAAAATTTGAATATTTGTACGTACTTCAAAAGTCAAATTATTATAAAGCGCCATACAATAATGAAAATACATGAATATAGCGTTTAGCTCGTAGCCCAGATATCTTAAAGATATCTTAAAGATGTCGGACTCGGACGTTTATGACATCTCTAAGACGTCCAGTGTACGACGTAAGTCATCTTTAAGACGTCTTTAAGATATCTAATGTTATAAAATACAGCGTCTTTAAGATGTCCTTTTAACGGTATTATCATTCGTTGCTAAACGTCGTTAAGACGTCTTTAAGATGTTAAACGTGTGAAAACGTCTTGGTTATGCATGTAGCTAACGTATAGATACTCTTATTAAAAATATTTTTTTTAAAATTGTTTCATATTTATTTGAGCCTATTAATTCAAATCAATAGATTCAAATCTTCTTGGCAAGTAGAACCCTTCTGTCTGAAGCCCTTGTATTATAGGTGGTATCAGGGTCAGAGACCCTCGGGCTATCAATTATTTTCTCGGAAAACACAACAAAAACGACACAAATTC